AGCTATCACTCAAGGGCTTAAGATGTACTAAAAAATCAGGTAACATTATTGACCCTAACTAAGGAGGACAATCACTGGCTCCTGCTGGCTGAAGTCCTCTCGGTAAGAAAATAAAAGGACATAATGTTTAAATACGCCAAGACCTAGAGAAACAGAGGCAGAGTTCTCAACAAACTAAACAAAGGGACTCACAAGGATTTTGAGGACATAGAAGGTGGTTGTTATTCAAGGTGCTCAATAACTGCTCAGCACCCCCCTCCAATAAAATAAATAAAAGGCAGCCCAAAAGCTTTTAGCTGGCATGTAAAATCTTCCCTAGAGTTCCAATTCTATGCTATTTCCCCCGCCTTCTGTCCCCTAGGCTTCTAAAATCACCTTCGCCCTCCTTAACTTTCTGTAGCGCCTTTTCCTTTCCAGATTGAAAAAATGAGAGGGAAGGACAAGTCGGTAGGAAGGTGAAGGATTTGAGGAAGAGGCTAGACAGCAACAGGTTCATCAAGAGCAAGAACAAAGAGGAAGGTGAGCTATGAAAACACCACCTGAGAGTGACCACTGTATCGTTGTCACCTACCTATCAAACGGCCCCGCTGCTCCCTCCGTGTAATCTAGGATGCTCAGTCTCACTACAATCACTCCTTCTGGCCCCAGCTCCAATCCAAGGAGGCAGAGGAGTTAACTTTTTTTTTTAGGAGTCCTGTAAGTAGGATGAAGAAACACTGTAGCGGTCCAGAGAGTTTGTACCAATTGCACACTGTATTCACAGGTCACACAGGAGGGAACAATACTGAAAGCCAAGGCCTGAGCTTCCTGCTGCCGGGGGCAGTGTAACCAAGTCTCAAGGTCCTGTGCTCTCATCACAATTTTGGGCTGATAAGTATAATCTGTATTTAGTTACTATTCATTTAGCATTCACTATGTACCAAGAAATTTACAGATAGAACTTAATCATCAAAACCGGACTATGAGAGGCAGTAGAGCTGAGAAGCGAATGACTGATATCCATGGTCCAAGCTCCACCACTAGGTGAGACCTTAAGAAGTTGCCTCTCTCATGCCTTAATTACCTCTTCTGTAAAATGGGGGTAATCATTAGCATCTCCAGCACAGGGCTAATGAGCGGATTAACAAACTGCAGAACTGGGACTGATGAACACAGTCCGACACACTCCGGCTCTTCACTGAAATGTCTGGCAAAGGGTCTCTCATCCAATAAGCCTAATCACGCAGTCACAGGTGAGGTGGGGGAAGCAGCAAGGCGCGGACTGCACGGCTCCCACGCCTGACCCTCCCCTCCCCTCCCCTCCCCATCATTCATTCGCTCAGTCTGCCCGCCTGATGGCTCTGGCAGGCCAGGCTCGGTGCTGCGAGGAGCCGGAGGAGGAGAAAGCGAGGGGAGGGGGAGGTAAATTCGTGTCTAGTAAAAACAAGTAAAAGTAGGTGACGGTGTTACACAGCATGCACTCCTCTGTACTGTGCACACAGGAAAGGTCACCTTGCTGGCTGGGATGGAGGAGGCTCTGAGTGGGGCCCAAGGAAGCGCACTAGATACACGAGGGCAGGGGAGCTGGGCACTGCTGAAGGCATCAATGTCCAGGAGCCAAGCAAAGGCTGGACACCAGACCCTTCCAGAAGATACCCTGCAAACACACATTTTCTGTATTTCTCTGGGAACCACAATTCCCAGAGTTTCAATCATGAGCATGTAAGAAAAACATTACTCATCCAATCTAAGAAAGCTTCCAACAACAAAATCCCAGGGACTTTTCACCCTGGAAGCAGCCCTCTATAAAGCATAAGAATTTAAGTAAACCTGAACCACGAAACTATAACCCTCAACATGTAATAAAATGCCCTGTATTGTAGGTGTATGTGCTAAGTTTGATGAAAAAGTCTCACCGTGTATATTAAAAGTATAGTTCTATCAGAAAGATCAGAAAGCTTTTCAATAATTACAAGAAGTGACCGTTTTCCTTAAGTCATATGTACTCAGTTTGGGATTTAACATTAGCATCAGCATCATCGACCTTTAAACTCCCCCAGTATAGACACGGATGACTGTAACTGCGTGAAGGGGCAGCACTGCCTTCTCAGCAAGGGGACAGGAAGGCGATGGGGAGTGAAGCAAGGAGTGTGCGTTTCCAGCTATGCACAGTAAAGCCATCTCGGCACACAGTTTGTATTTTACTTGTGTCAGTGAAGGCTGGCTCACAAAACCACTGTATTTGTAGCTTCCATTAGTTTCCTTTTGAAGGGCCAAGTTTTCCCTTTTCTTATTATGTGATGGTACCTGCAATGCATATCCTCAGATCTTAAAACTTTCAGCTTTAAGAACATGCTCGCTTCCTTATTTTTCTGTGTCTGTCCCATATGTCTACTTTCTGAGCAACTTTCCTGGGCTGTGTGTGCCCAGCACATGTTGCCAACCAACCTTTAAGCCACCAAAGTTAAATAAAAGGGGGGG